CTTGCCCTTGTTGAACCTCATCAGGTTCCTCTCTGCCCAGCTTTCCAGCCTATCCAGGTCACGCTGAATGGCAGCACAGCCTTCTGGTGTATCTACCACACCTCCCAGTTTGGTGTCATCAGCAAACTTGCTGAGGGCACATTCTAACTCTTCATCTTCGTCCCTATACTCTCCTCCTGATAAGTTTTCTCCAGTACTCACACCTGCTGTCACCAAAATACTTCAGTAACAGAATTGCCTGGCCTTTACAGTGACAGGCAGAAGATGGGTTCTGCATTGCTGGTTTGATCCGGGCAGGACAACGGTCCCTCACAGTGCTCACCCTCTTTGCACAATTCACTCAATTCACTGCGAACCAAACGGCCTTACTATTTCAGCTTCGTTTTTCCTGTTAGCTTCAGGGCTATGAAGTGAAAAGGTATCATTTTATTCTTCTCCTCTTCTCCTAAATCAGACCCTGTGAATAAAACTGAGCTGGCACAGAAAACAATCCTATACGACTGTGCATGGGTCAAGCCTAGAGCGCTTACCAGCTGCTGGAGGGAGGTCTGAAGTGCTGCTGTTCGTCCCTGAAGCGCTTCTGTTTGTGTTCTGGTGCTTCACGTTGGTAGTATCTGAAGACGCATCCTCCGTACCACGCTCACTTGCTAGAGTGCTCTGACCAGCAGAGAGAAGATTCAAGCCACAGGTGCACTGTGCATTGGAGCCAGTTTCTGGGGAGGTGGAGGCACTGCCAGCCGCAGCGCAGCAGGGTTTGCTCCACTTTCTGGGAGATTCCCTGTACGAAATGCCACACCTCACGCAGACCTTTTCTGAGTCATCGTTCGTTGCAAAATGACCTGTGTCTTTGCTGCCCGTTTCCTTCAGACAACTGTGGCCACGTTGGCAAGATTTCTGAAGAAGTCTGTCCGTGGCAGCACACGCCCCATCCCTGTTGGAGGAAGGGTGAGAGCCTTGAGAGACCGACACGTCCTCTGTGCTCCCGATCCCTGAAAAGTACTGATTTAAGCTATCGTTCTCCCCTGCCTCCATTGGTTCTGAAAACGACGACGTGGTTTTACTGGTGGTCGGGCTCAGCAAAGATAAATAATCGGTGGTATTGAGATCCTTATCCGTGTATTCATCTTCTGTGGGATCTGGTGGGAAATGGGCATCGTCAGTCTCAGTTACCACAGAAAACTCCTGGAGGCTCCCTCCCGCCTCGCACGGTGCCGTGCTGGGGCTCCCGTTCCGGCAAGGAGCGTGACCACCGGTGCAGCACGAGTTTCCAGGGGCAGGAGCACCGGCAGGGTCCAGGAGACACACGCCTTCAGAGCTCTGCGGGACAGCAGCGCTCGTGGTGTTCACAGTAATAAATGCGTCCCTTGGGGGCTCCTGAAAGAAAGCCAAAAGAAAAACGCGTTTAATAAACAGGTCAGCAGAAGTTTATTTTCTAGACGAAGCAGGAACAGGCAGATCTCAGTTCTCCCTCAGCTGGAGCTGCTGAGGTTGAGCAGCATCGTTGTGTTTGGGTGTTGAAGTGCAATTCTGTTGTGAAACTGTGACCAGTGATGCTGGGTTCAGCGGCTGCTCAGGAAAAAATCTGGAGGCCTGGAGGGCAATAACATTTAATTTTGGGAGAGAACTATTCCTGGTTCTTAAGAAGGCACGTGAGACTTCATAAATCTACAAGAGCCGCTGGATTCTGCTGTTCCTTATGGGCCATCAGTAAGACCTACCTAACTACTTATAAGGTTTGGAAACCCCCCAGATCATCTACATGTCTGAAGGACAGTTGATCTGTGAAGGCCTTACTGGGAGTAGAACCTTTATTAGTAATGACTGAAAGAAGAAACTGGCTTGATTCAGAGAGCCCAAGATAGGCTAGGAAAAAAACAAAAAAAAGGCATGTGGGCAAGGTTGCTTCAACCTGGAAAATGTCAGGACAACAAATGCAAAGGACCATGACATCATGGTGCCAGTACTTGTCAAAGTAAAGCTGTATTTTTGGTCGCAGCTCCACAAAAAGGGGGTGGGAAATACTTTGAGGGTTCCCTCCAGTTCCTGCAAGTTGCGCTGTAATGATGGGTATTTGGGAACTGCTACCTTTCATTTCTACCCCCTGTTCAGATCTTCCAGAAAGGAGAAGAGTGTAAATGCTCCCAGCCGCTAATTGCTGTTGATTCACTCCTCCGTCCCGGAGGACCTGAGCAGCTGCCAGTGCAGGAGCTTGCATGAAGGCCTGTGAGACAAAAGAGGAACTGCCTGCTCAAAAAGGTGGGTTTGTTTTTTTGGTTGGTTTTTTTCTGTGGCAATGGGATTTGAGTCTTTCAACAGCGAAGCTAGACAGAGCTCCTAGATAGGGACATGGGGAGACCGTGCACCTCAGTCCATGTCCACGGTGTGAAGCAGGCAGTGCACATCAACGTGAACCTGTGCCCCTATCTAGGTGTTTCAAGCTTGGGATCTGAGGCTGTTCCGGAGCTAAACCTCATGGAAGACCTTACTTTCAAGAGGGATTTCTTCGAGCAATAGAAGTAAGTGGTCTCAGCCCCACTTTTTCTTCACCTGATGGCTCTCTGCTTAATGCCTTGCGTGTTTGGCATTCTTGGCATTGCCTCAAATCCAGGTTTCTCCCCTGTGAGGACTCTGGTATGTAAAAAGGTGCAAACTCAACTAAGCTGTTCCTGCTCTTAGGGTTTAGAAAGGCTCTCTCCTAGGCAGTCTCAGGTGTTCAGCAACTGGTGGGCTCATGTTTAGCTTTCTCCTTATAAATATTTAATCATCACGGAGAATTTCAGCACTGTTAAAACTGGCTGAAACCAGAGAGCAGGTTCAGAAGCTATTTGAGAATGGTGATTTCATACGCCTCACATTTACAGAAAACCAGACTGAAAAAGCCAAAGCTGCAAGCATTTTTTGAGGAACTCAAAACTTGTTTTCTAGCCAAATATCAACGTGGAGTCTGCTTCAGAAGGGGCGTGAGGAATGCCACGAGGAAAACACAAAACAAAGAGAAAATGCTAGCGTCTTTGACTTTACCTTTGTTCCTTTTATTTGGCTGCACACTTCGTTAGCCCAATTCTGTAGGTCTGCTGCAGGGAAAACAAAAAGAGGAGCTGTAACATGTAGCAGGCACTGAAGTTAGCCGCAGACCTAAACACCCACAGGCATTCACAACCCGCAATATCATATTAAATGAAAACCAGCGAGACTGTTTTTACTGACTGCTCAAGCGTCCCAGCGTCGGTCTAGCTGAGGATTCGTTGTAACTGGAACAGGGATATATTTCTGTGGAACAAATGTTTCCAAGCTCCTAAAATAGACCACGGTTAAACTGTGTTCCACATCAAATGGGGTTTCTTTCCTGGTCATATGTCACACCGAGCTATGACTGGCCCGATACTGGCCCGCTTGCAGCCGTACCGTCTGTTTCAAGAGAAGTCACATGCATGGCCCAAAGGCCCTTCTCGGACTGGGGGTGAGCAGCCTGGAGAGCAGAGGGTAAGCCACTGAAACCACGGGATGGCAGGCTCAAACACAGAGTATTCCACCTAGTCGGGGTGTACTTCATGGGGAAATCCACTTAATCGGGGTATGTCCCAAGGAAAAGCTTGAAGTCCAACAATGCTTTATGGTAAAGACCACCACTGAGTAGAGTTAGCAATTCTTCTTGTTTTCTATTCATACTTCCAGGAGATTTTGTAGGGCTGAGGTCTCATGTGCGTTTGAAACTTCTGCTGGTTTTGTATGGCTGAAGATACATCTGCAGCCACTGCCGGTTCCCATCGATGACTCTGTTCCTCTGATGCTGAGCACATTTACCATCAGTCTCCCCTCAAGCCAGCAGAGCTTCTCCCTGAGCCTGCACGTCTCAGGGGCTCCAGCTAGCATGATTTACCACGCAAAGGCAATGAAGGACTGTCACTGCAGAGCAGCAGGGCAGTAGAAGTGTTATATGAAGAGCATTCCCACCTAACCTGCTTTGCGTCCAAAGTATTTGGTTTGCCAGGAGAGTCACCATTTCCTCCAGCCCATCCCAGGAATTCCAGATTTAGCACAACCCGTGTTTAGTGTGGCAGAGGCAGCCTATTTCTAAAATGCGGGCTGAAATATACTTTACAAGAGAAGGCTGCTGTCTTCCCTTCCACTGCTCCCGAAACATTTCATAAATTGCTAGGGCTTGGGAAAGGAGATGATGGAAAAACTACACTAGGAAAAGCTTTCCATGTGCAGGGGGAGAAAATAAAAAATGAACAGATTAATATGGGTATGTCCTAACTCCCAGCTAAGGAGATCCAGGGCTTAACACAGAGCTGAGTAACTGTTGAAGGTATTTCCATTGTATTTGTAACATATTCAGTGCCCCACTGTTATCCTGTATGCCTTTGCTAGAATTTTTCTACTTTTCTGCTTTTACTGTTTATGCTGTTTCCTTCTAGAGTTTCTTCCACACCTCACCAGAACTTTGGCCTTCAGCTAAAATCATTGCCTCCGTTGTGTTTTCGAATACAAATCAGGCCTTTGTCTTGAAGTCCCTACTTTAACCTGTCCAGATGCAGGCTTCAGGGCAGGAGGCAAAGCGCGGGGAAGGAGACAGGAGGTGGTGAAAGCCCCCCTGGGTCATGCCCTGCTTCCCCTTGGCGACGGGATCTGCGCAGAGCAGCCGTGCTGCTATAAAAGCCCCCAGCCCCAGCCCTCCTCCATCCACACAGCGGCTGCGACCACCCCGAAGGTGGTCACCCCATGGGCAGGGCTGCAGGAGGATGCCAGCCCATGTGCAGTATCCGTAAGCGTAATACGCGCCCTGCCTAGAGGAAAGGGATTTGAAGCTTGGCTTTCGCTACATCATAGAATCATTAAGGCTGGAAAAGACCTCTAAGATCATCCAGTCCAACCATCCACCCAACACCACCATGACGGCTAACCAATGTCCTGAAGTGCCATATCTAGTCCTGAAGTGCCATTAGCTAACCAGTGTCCTGAAGTGCTTTTTTTTGAAAACCTCCAGGGATGGTGACTCCACCACTTCCCTGGGCAGCCTCTTCCAATGCCAGACCACTCCTTCAGTAAAGACATTTCTGCTAAAATCGAATCTATCCCCCGTGATGCAACTTGAGGCATCCCTAGTTACCTCGGTGAAGAGACCAATACCTGCCTCACTACAACCTCCTTTCACTCAGTTGTAGAGAGCATATCCATATGGACAGATCTAAGATAAAGCATATCCATATGGACAGATCTAAGGGATAGCACAGAACATCCAAAATCACTCCTGAATTTCTTAACCTGGTGGTTACCCATTAAATCAGAGCGCGCAGAGCGCCATGCAGTTGTCACGTCCACACGTATCATTAGCGATCACGTACCTGTCAGCTTTTTTCCCTTGTTCTTGTAGTATACAATGAAGATGACAATGCCAACTAGTGCCACAAAAAACAAGACGACGATCAACACGTATAAGATCCTGTTTGTTCCTGCAGGATGTCAAAAAGATAGTGCCATCAGCATGCAGCCTGTACTCAGCAGTATGACAACCCTCGCTCGTTTGACCTGTTTTTCCACAGGAGACGTGGGTTTTTTCCCTTCCTACTTGATTTTCAGTTTCTGTAATAAGGACAACGGCTCTAGCACTCATGCAGTTCTGTGACACGCAGCCTTACTGAGCCTACCTGATACTGAGCCACCTCCATAAAAACCAGAGTCTTGGTGTCTCAGAGATGTGGGATCGAGTCATGTTCCTCTGAAAGTCCCCTTGCAAGGTGCCAGCAGCCCATGGGCTGGGCTTGCTCTGCCTCAGGGGACGGGGGACATAGCCCTCATGGAGATGGTAGACTCCAGCTGGCAAAATTTGTCCTTTATCTCAGGTTATGAAGCATCACTGCATGCCAGGCAAGCAGCCTCCCTGGCACCATAACCCCACTGGAGAGCGAAATGGGCAGTGGGCAAGAAGGGAGAGCTGTGTTCAGCTGTGACTGTACCCACTGCTGTAAAAGAAGCATGAGGAGATGCTGCTAGCCTTCATACAGATAATTTGTGTCTGGAAATCAGCAGGCTGAAAAAATGAAAGAGCTGTAAATGTGACGGAGGTCACGGGTATGACAGCAATGCTGCCTGCCATGCAGTTTCAGTGGGAGGTGTAAAGCTCTGGTTAGTAATGGACACGGGCCCTGGAGCTGCCAGGCTTCAGGTAATCTTTAAAGGTGGGAGTTTCCAAGAGCACTGTGTTGGTCTGCAGCTGCTCCCCCTGGAGTCACCCGCAATGGGAGTGGAGTTAAGCCAGCCAAAGACCGTAGCAAACCCATCGCTCCTCCTCCCTGGTGCTTTCTAACAGATACTTTGTGTGAGGACACATACCATCTTCCGATGGCTCAGGCACCTTCCGTTCGGCACAAACTGCATCTGACTTGTCCGTCCCAGGCACGGTTTCTACCATTCCTAGAGCTGTACAGCTGAAAAAGAAAGACAAAGAGGCTAGGTTCTCAAAGAGGGAGCTTGTCATGGCTCCTACACTTAGCAGAGCAGTACTTTCTCCTGTAACGTACAACATTTATCCTGCATTTCCCCACCATTGAGAAGCTCATATACATTCTTTATCTTCAGCTGTGTTAGCCTAGCAGTTCTGTCGTTACTGCTCTTCTCTCTTGCTTCCCCCCCTAGGAAGAATTCAAGCTCCAGTGTGAGAGTGCTCTGTGCGCTCTGCAGAGAGTCTGAAACACCCCGCTGAAAAATGCTTTCGCCCAAGCTTCTCCCTGCCTTGTGGCGTAGTCCTTTTGCAAAATACAGGGACTTACTTGGTCCAGGATTTACACTTGTCGGTGGATGAAGCGACCTTCGAGAAGTAGCCTCTGGGACATGGTGTACACATCGTGTCCTTGTCTTGTTGCACTGTGTGTAGTAAAGGAAGAAAAAATATATACAAAACACAAGACACTCCTAGCTGAGCTTCCACGGGTTGCTTTCAGGTAAGGGGAAGGTGACTATGCTCCCCATACCCCTGCTCCGCTCCCCTCACCCCGAAAGCTTCTCTGAAGAGAGAAGGGTCTTAGATTACATCAGAGCAACGGTCACACGTAAGCAGAAAAAAGTACGCTAGTCTCACCTGAGCGCTTATCTACAGGTTCAAAATGAGAAATCACCAGGAGCCTTTTGCAGTTATTGTAAAATAACACACAGCTCTTGCACCCTTCCATTAACTTCCTTGTGGCGATGCTCTGCCACGGACAGCAACGCGAACTGCTGTTGTTAATTCCATGAAGCCACAGGAAACAAAACGCTGTATCAGGATTCGATAAACTCCAGAAAAACTGGCACCACTGTGTTCCAGGCCTATGCAGCATTTCGTCCTCCCTTACTCTATTACGTGCTGCTTTTTGGGGTTCCTCGTGCTTGGCGCAGCTTCTCCCAGGGTTCGTTACAACTCTGAGCTTGACCATCTCTATTTTCCACCCACAAAACACCCGCCGTTTGTTTTGAGCAGACTTAGGACAAAATTAAATGTCCGTAATAAATCTTTGCATTACAAATCATCTAAACCAAAGAGTGTTTGCACTGCCTGAAAGGTGCTAATCACTTTTAACTTGCCTATAACATTATAAAATGGCAAAGTCATTGGACAAAAACTGATTTCAAACTCCACCTCAGCAACGATCCCCAATGGACCACCTCTCGGAATACTGGAGCATGTCCTAGTGACTCGGAGTCAGACGCCTCAGCAAACGTTAGAAACGCACTGAACACCTTGTGACTATTGCCATGTCCACGTGATATCTTGCAAAAGTCACTTGACCCAAGATGCTGTTTAAACTTCCAAATGCAAGTAGCCCAGGACAGTTATACGCAGTAGTAATGACAACTCAGATATGCATCTTCTGTTGACAGCCATCTGAGAGTCCAAAGTATCCTCTAACGTCACGACCCTCACGATGCCGGCCTCATCCTGCTGGCCTGAGCTGGACATTTCACTTTGTACGTCCCCTTTCTCTGTCTTACCAGGATGCTCAGCTCCGAATCCGGGAGCACAGATGGTATTTCGCTGACAGCAGTCGCAGTCGTCGTTCCAGTGGTAGCCCATGGTACAAGCACATTGCCGCTGGAACGTGCTGTTCCCGGGGTTCACTTCTCTCAAAGCCTTCCCTAAAAGAGGAAGCAGATGGCAGTAAACATCTGCCAGAGAATAAGCCTCAAGTTTATGAGCCTCCTGTTCTACCAATTTGCTTTGCTTGAATGCCAGATGCAAAACCATTCATGTTAGAGGAAACGTTATCTCTCAAGAAGCATGGGACACCCTTGACCAGCATGGAGGTCCTCACTGACCACACTCCTGAGGAATACTTTTCCTTGTAGCTGCTGCAGAAAATAAACAGAGCTTTTGCAAGGGTGACACAAACGGGTTAGGGGAAGTGAACGCACCATGTGCTTGAGCCAAAGGACAACCTTTAAGATCCAGCCAACAGAAGCAAATGGCCCCAGTGAAGATAATGATTATCAGCAGCATGGAGACTACGGGCACGGTGCTCAGCACCCCGCAGAATCTCTGCTGTATGGGGACATCCCTCTCTGCCAGGCTCTTCTGCAGGCCCCGCCTCCAGTGCCGGGCATCCGAACAAAGCAACTTCCCTGGATCCACTTTCCCATCTTCGTGCTTCACTAATTTGGATTAACAGGTTCTTCAGTATGAACAACTCACCTTGATCACATATTTTATGTAGCAAACATTTATCTTCTTCATTCCAGACATCCATATACTCGTTTGGGCCACATGGCTGGCACACGCTATCAGAAGTACCGGTGCATCTAGCAGACATATACTTTCCTGCAAAAGAGAGAAGGACAAGCAGGTCATTCGCAAGTTGCACACCAGCTGTCTAAGGAGCTTAGGGAAAATCACAGGTTGGGCTAACACTGCTGTACTGCCGTGGACAATCATTTCTTCCTGCCACCTTCTCCGTTCCTCGGCCTGGCCCCCATCTAGCGTGGCACTGAATCACCCGTGAAGCTCGCGGCCTGGGAGCAGGCCTATCTACGCGCACGAGGGTCAAGCGGCTTTCTGTCTCCCGTGGTGGTACGGTGCTATCCCAACAAAATAGCTGCTACGGCTTTTGCTGAGGTCAGCAGGACCCCTCCCACACTAGAAGGCATTCACAAGCCTGAAATCATGCACCTGCCAGGCTACGTGCCAATAGATTAGCAGAGTCACCAGGGCAAGCTGCCTTACTGACCCACAAAGCTGTTTCTCAGGAGCTTTTCAGCTACGTGGCCAGCACAGGCCAGTGCTCACATACCTGGCTCACACTTTGTGCAGCACCGTCCAGAGTACTCATAGTGTTGCTCGCTTTCACACGGTGGAGTGATTTGTAGTGACAACTGGAGCAGAGAAGGAGAGAGAAGACATGAGAACCAATAGACCTGGAGAGCTTCAGACCTACCAAGTCACAGTGCCAGCAGAGAAGAGGAAAACTTTTCTTCTGTGTAGCCTTTTGGATAGCTAAGCAGTAAAAATTACGCAACATTTATGACTTCAAAGGCGCTTTGTGGACATGCTAAGAATATGTACTTGATGCCGTACACACAGGGACTTGTAATACAGCCAGGTGATAAATAAATACCACAAACGTGCAATTTGTCATGAACTTTTGGCCTGCTGTATAACCTTTTCTTACAGTACTCTATTATTTGAAATCCGTGACTTTACAACAATTGTAAAGAATACAAAATTGGCACAGAGATACTTCTGTAGTCTCTTCCACAGATACGACCTCTGACCAAGACCTGGGCAAGTGACAGCTTTAATACATAGCGTTACGCAAACAAGTAAGGTGAGCGATTTACAACGCTGAAAAAGAAGAAGTTCCCAGCTTCCTGCTGGGATACACAATACTCCTGGCTAGCCCCAGAAAATGTTGGACTTCACTTTTGCAGCTTTTTATGGCTCCCACTGTGTCCTGCAGAGGAACTGAGGCAGCCATCCAGCGAGGTGATAAAATTAAGCCAACAACATTTTGCTTCTCAAAAACCAAACCAAAATAAACCCAATACAAAACGTGCCCCCAAACCACCTGAAACTGTTACACCAGAGGGTATCTGCCAAGCGGGGAGCAGTGTCACCTCTAGCCCTCATGGGGCCACGCGTCGCACCCCGGCTCTCAGCCGCCCTGGCAGCGGTCCTCCAGGCAAACTCAACACCTTACAACCAGCTGTTGATCTTGTGATAGATGATTCAAAATCCGGCCCGCAGCAGGGAATCCTTCCTTATTGGATGCAGTTCTTAAAAGCTCATTTGCTTGAAGAAAGCTGCAGTAAAGCTTCTGCTGTTGGTTAAAGGGAGCTTTTGCCATCTAATAGCGTATGACAGCCCTGGGCCTACTGATACTGGTTTCCATTCTTCTACTTGGCATTCTCCTCTTGTTTCACAGAATCACGGCATGGTCGGGGTTGGCAGGGACCTCTGTGGGTCACCCAGTCCAACCCCCTGCCCAAGCAGGGTCACCCAGAGCAGGCTGCACAGGACCTTGTCCAGGCGGGGGCGGAATATCTCCAGAGAAGGAGACTCCACAGCCTCCCTGGG